CTCCACTCTTGCCGGGCTCATCAGCTTCAGCTGGGAGCGCACCGACCTTCCAGGGACGGCCGGATGTCGCTGGAATGTCGTTCGGCGCGGCGTTTCTCATTTGTTAATTCCTTTCAGGGATTGTTTGCTTTTTGATGAGAAGCACTCTGGCCGGGCCCGTGCCCAAAAACCGACACCTTGGAGACAAGCCCCAACACGCTTGACTTCAATGACTTCCTGACTCCTGAGGTCATTAGCCCCTTGAACGACTGCGCAGCACCCCCAACCCCCCCACGACGGCAAGCCCTAAACACCCCTGAACCCTAAACCCTAAACTTCCCTAAACCCAAAAGCTACAAACAACAGCGGTGCGGGTGTCGTTCTGGCCACCGTTCGCGCTCGCGCAGCGGTTTTCCAGAGCTTTGAGGTTTTCAACAGGTCAATCGTTTAGCGCGCTTAGGGCCGGGTTGCTGATCCAGCCTGTCACGTGCCAGGCAACGTTCCTCGTTAAGGGTTAAGTACAAAGCCCCCCCGCCTTCCTCAGTCGATCCATGAACTCCTTGTCCCCCACCTGCGATGACCTCAAGCGGCGTCCACAGTTCTTTCTACTTGGACACCTGACGGTCGGAGGCTGTCGGAGCTCGGTCTTATCCATGCCGAGTCGCACGAAGCGCTGCACTCTGGGGTGCAGCTTATCCCAAACTCCTGCAGATGTCTCCACACTTAGAACTCTTGCATTCCGCCAGGAGCTCAGGCATTTGGTGCTTCGGAGGCTTTGGCTTGAAGCTTGGAGCCCCAAACCCAAACCCAGGGTCCGGGGATGTACAATAAGATGCGCCCAGAGAAGATCATGAGGAAGGTCCACCTCAAGCTTTTCGGCTTATTACTTATGCCTCAGGCTCGCATGCAGCTGGTCTGCTGCGGATACTATTGACATGTCTTGCCACTGCAGCATCACTCCAACAAATGCTGAGGTACAAAGTGTTTGTGGAGCCAAGGCACACCATCAAGGCCCCCAGAACACCGACCTCGATCTTGTAAGTGGTGATCTGCAGCAGGATGCAGACCGTGGACGGGACTGCCTGCATGTAGTCACCCCATTCAATGTCCTTCACGCCCTCGATCATGAAGACGCCCACCATAACCAATGCAGGTCCAGTGGAAAGCGTGGGGATGGAGGAGAGCAAGGGCGTCAGGAAGATGCAAATGAAGTTGCAGAAGGCAATGGTAAGCGCGGTGAGGCCGGTGCGGCCACCCTCGTACACGCCGGCCATGGATTCGCCGTACGTCGTGACAGAGCTGGTGCCCAGGAAGCCACCGACAAAGGTTCCCACAGCATCCGCCATGAAGGCGGCGAAGCAGCCGGGAAAGGTCTCCGGCTTCGAGGGATCGACCAGCCCGCTCAGGTCTGCTGCGGCGTACAGGAAGCCCATGGTCCCGATGAAGTCGATGTAGAGGAGGGTGAGCAACCTCAGTGCTGGGGTCTGCAAGCTGACTCGTGGCTACAAGTACCAGGTGCTGCCGTCCGCACAAGCCTGCTTGAACTTGTGCTGTGCCAAGCAACGGGTTCCAGAAGCCTGCCCAGTCGCCAAATCCGGATGTGTCCCATGCCAGAATTGTGCCGCCAGAGACGTCGCCGTTCACGCAATTGGTGCCGTTTGAGTCCTGAGCTTAGACAGCAAGCATGGCAACGTCAATAGAGGCGGGTGCCTTTCAACAGCTTCGTATACGAAGGCATGAGCTCAACCTCCAACACCTCTGCAGTGCATTTGCCGCCAAGTGCGGGCCAGAATCGCAGCCGGCCCATCCAGCGAAGGGAGGCACCAAATCCCCGGCAAGGTCGATGAGCGGAATGGAAGCGATGGCAGTTGGGGCACTGAACGTCTTCCTTCAGCAGGGCCGCTCGTGTGAGAGCGTGTCAAAGTAAACTAGCAAGCTGGTGCCGTGCATTTGGTTCCGAATGCTCGCATGCCCGAACAATAAAAACGCTTGATTGCACATGTTCTCCAGCACACTGCCGATGTCGCTGCTGCCGTTGCGCTTGTTCCGCTCTCAAAATCTTAGAGGCAGTTAGCATCGTCTAGTTCAACTGAATGACCGCCCCTATGATGATCCTGTTTCAATTGTGCGTGTGTGATGCCAACAGCTTAGCCAAAAGAACTGTATGCGGCGGCTTCTTGACAAGTATGATCTCGGACTATCTGAACACAGCCAAGGGTCGGGATGCGACCAGCCCCGCCCAGGCAACCCTCTCCAAATCCATCGACCAGCAGGCTCTCGGTGGCGCGGTCCTGGTAGGACATGCCAGTCCTGGCAAAGGCTGTTGTGGCTCCAAGCCTCAAGCCTCTAGCGACTGAGCAAGACATGCACTCAAGTGCACAAGCTTCGAGTGTGATCAAACTATAAGATTGCATAAGATTGCTAAACCCCTTGGGAGGTCCAGCAACCCGTCTCCACGAGCACGGCCCCGAAGCACATTGGGTCGAAGCCGCCCAGCATGTGCATGCATGAGTCTTGGCAGCCACCCTTGAAGGTAGAGTCGCGGCCTTCTGCAATGCCCTGCCAGTAGAGGCTGCCGCTGTGGGTCTGGCTAGTGCCGCCGTTCGTGATGGTAAAGACCCCGCCGGTGTGGGACACAGAGGCAGTGGACTCAAAGGTGTAAGTGCGGACATTATCCGTCACCGTCAACTTCCCTGCTCCGGGCACAGTGAAGGGGTTGTTGCACGTAGGTTTTGGGTAGTAGCCGCCTCCGGGCTTGGGATACCACTCCACGCCTCCTGCAGCCGGCTCCGGATAGGAAACGCTGCCAAGGCAGCACATGGGCTTGTACGAGAACTGCTCCACCGCTGCTGCATCCAAGATCCAGCAGAGGACTGCGCTGAGGATGATGGCAATCATCACGGCACCCTTCACGCGCAGAAGAATCAACAGGGCCATGACGCAGAAGAACGCGATTCCAATCCAGGTGCGCGCGAAGTGCTCACCAGTCAGGGTCACAAGGTCCACAAGCACTGCAGGGTGGTCCCTCACGATGTCGATGCCGTTGCCCGCTTGCAGTCCGATGTGGGCCAAGAACAAGCCGATGCCCGCCATGGTGGCCTTCATCATCCATGTGGGGAAGACCTTGAAGACGTAGCGCCTGAGGTCAAGGGCAGACATGATGATGAAGATCACGCCCTCAATCGTTACAGCCATCATCACTTTTTTCACGGCAGTCTGCGTTCCCTTGAAGCCCACGATGGTGTAGGCGAAGTAGGCGTTCATGCCCATGCCGGGCCACAGACCAAAGGGCAAGTTCCTGAGACAGCTCTCAAAGGCTGTGTGCTTCCTGAACCTCAATGGAAGCCTAGGGTTTAAGATCTCGGGCTCCGAGTGAGTACTCACTAAGCTGCGTGATATCGCCTGAACAGTGATGAACCAACCCGCTCCTGCCTGAGAGAGGGTGTCAGACTGGCTTAGAAGGCGTGCGAACTTCAAACCAGGGTGGAAGTGCATCTCGCACCGTCTGAACCGTCTTTAGTCCTGAACTGTCATCGCAAACCTCCTGTCTCTCTCCAAAGCTCGCCCAAAGCGCCATGATCAGCGTGGCAATGCAGCTCGACCCCGCCGTCGCGAACACGAGGCCCTCGAAATTCCTTGCAACTGGGATTTATGACGATTTAGGACTTCAGGCGAGGATCTGGACCCGAGCCCCACGTCCCTGGAAAAGGTGTGAAAATGCTGTCTTTTCATCCCCGGGATTTGACCACAGCAAACTATGACACCTCCGTAGCCATACCGCATGTCTTGTCGGGATGGCCCCAGTCAGAACTTCTGAGCCCACTCCACACGGCAGAACACATGCAGATCTTTGGACGTACAACCCTGTCATTCCCTGAAGCCCTGATCTTTAAAGGTTATCAAGCTGCCTCTAACGCTGAACCACCGACCTTGGGCCCTTCTCCGTTGCGTTTATTCATTGCGTCGCAGCTGAACTCTAAAGTTACCCAACCAACGGGGATGCCCACCAAGGACATGCCAGGATAGTGCGAGATAACTTTGAGAAAGTTTCCTCGGGCTCTGAGATTGAGAGGCACCACCTACACACATCGAAATCGGAAGCCTCACTGAAGGGCTGGTGGGGTGTTTTGCGTTATGTGACTAACAAATGGACTAATTCCAAGAGAGGCCTGGACGGAGGGTGGCACCAACCGAACCGAACCACGAACCCACACGAACCGTCGCCTTGCTGGAAATTTGACGCCGTAAACTACATCTCGGCAGGTAGATCCCAGGCCCAACACCTCTGTTTCCGAAAGTAGGGGTACCTTATTGGATCTGCCTTCTGAGGAAGTCCTACTATTTTGGGGGTCTATTTTAGGGGTCCCCTATTTTCGTACACCCCCAAATGCCCCCCCCCCAAACAGAAAAAGGGCATATTGCGGTCGCGTGGCAAGCCCGTGGTGCTGATGATGTTCGGGTTGACCTTGTGGACGGTTTAGGGTTTAGGGATTTTAGGGTTGTAGCACAGAACCCTAAAAAACCGCGTTGGGTTAAGGGTCTGGGGGGGGTTCAGGGTTTGGAGTTTAGGGGTTTAGGATGCTTGAGCATTTAAGGCTTCAGCCACCGTCCCCCGCAATGTCTCTAAGCCGCTGCCATGATGTAGGCGGCGGTGAGGAAGGTCGTGATGCCAGCACGGATCTCCTCAAATGCCGCTGAAAGTCACAGAATACTTGGACACTTAAAAGGTCAGATGGTGTGGGGCGTGGCATGAGTTGATGGTGGCACCAGTGGGTCAGCGCTGTCATCTGAGAAGGGGTTCTAGACCCTTCTAACAAGCTATACCACGCACCGCAACAATCATGACATCGGACCCTTTCAGCCTGCCTCAATTGCTGGACATCAACAGTCCGAACCTTGAGCTCTTGATGCTTGGGCCTCAGCCTCACACGGCCGAAGCCGCTAGTTGCAAAAAGTGCGGGAGCGAAGCTGCCGCGGCTGGGCTTTCAAAAGTCCTGAAGCTCTCAATGCATCCGTGTCTCCGTCGTGAGGTTCGAGCCACGCTGGGACACCTGAAGAATGTGTTTATCGAAAGCTCCACGACTTTTAATCGCCTAAGAGTTGACCGCGGCACGCAATCATCCCTAAGTTTGCGTCAGCCGCTGCAGGCGAATAAAGTCTGTACCCCGTGCGATGGCACTTACAAAGGCTGATGTGACCCCACTTGCGAATGAAGTGCCGGGGCAGTCTTCCGCCCGTACGGCCGCTTCGGCTCTCCATGCACCCGTTTAGGGTTTAGGGTTTAGGGTTTAGGGTTTAGGGTTTAGGGTTTAGGGTTTAGGGTTTAGGGTTTAGGGTTGCTGAAACTGCAAAGCCGACAGACCCACCCTAGAGCGCCCAAGGCTTGGAACACGTCGGCCTGCCTTGAAGTAGTTGTCCACTTTTCCGCCCCGGAACTTCGTGTCCAAAAAGGTGTCTTTCTGGGCAGCTTGCAGAATGGGCAAGAAAGGGGTTCAGACACACTGTGGCCAAGGAGGGCTAGCGGCGGCAGGGCGTGTCTCCGCCATCTGGGCTCCAGAAGCCATGAAAACTAATACCCGCGGCGATGGGAATGAAACTTCGCCACAGGGGAGTTGTCCTACCTGACCAGAGAACTGCCGCCGAGCTGCGACGGCCGACTTGCCCTTGGCGCCCACCTTGAAGTCAGGCTGCTCCTCTGCCATGGTCGAGGAAAGCTCCGCAGAGGCAACAGCGGCCACAACAGTTGCACCGTTCCAAAATGCTCTTGAGCCGGCGAAGCGAGGCAGGGTGTATGGTCATGCAGACCTGCATACATACCAGGCCTATTGCCTGACCTGCTACTGCTTCAGCTGTGCAAAACAGTTCGGGGTAAAACACCTGCGGACAGCAGCTTCTTGCTGCTCGAAGCTGGGGCTCTCAGTGCTTGTTCCCGCCCAGATGGGGTGCTTCGACCTTGCAGTCTGGGCTGAGAACGGGGGTGCCATGAAAAACCTCCTCACGAGCTGCCCGCTTGGGACAGCCAGAGCAATCACGCGATCGTCAGGGCCATCGCTGCTGCGACTGCTCTAAGGCGAAGCGAATAAGAAGCAAGATTGACCATGTTGACCTGAGCCTCAACCCCCAGCTTACGGAGAAGTAGTTACTCCCAACCATCAAAACATTGGATCCTGCAGAGCTCAGGGAACTTCAAACATCGTCGGTTTTCCGAAGCATTTCAGGGAATGCTACGGGTCACTCCCAGGACGGAGGATTTAAGCTTCGTACGTCCCAGACATGCATCGGGACGAGTCCAGCTGCCTCCGCTAGTCAAGGAAAAAAGATGGATGGTCTCCCAAACTGGAGCCTGGAGGTTCCTACGGCAGAACCCGGCAATTCGGACTGCTAGATCCCACAAAGCCATCAGTTTGCTGGGCTTTGGTGACTGCAAGGGTTTGTGAGCTGGGACATACCCTCTTGGCCTACAGTCTTATGGGTTATGCCTACTATTTAAGGGTAGTTCCACTACACTGTAGGTAAATAGAGTACCAGGTACAGCTGTGCAGCCCCAGACGTCAACCTGTCGGCTCAGGGATCAGCAGCTGTGCACAGGCAACGCCTTTGACGTTGCACGCAGTGGCCGCTAGCTTTGGCATTCGGAGCCTTTTGCAGCGAAAGAACTGTAAGATCGCTTGAACTAGGCCGACGCATGGGAAAGCATCAAGGTGACCGCGTCTCGCGCCACTAATCTGCAGAGTAGTCAAACGAACAACTCCCGGCTCCAGCCATTCCAGCAGCTCAAAACTCAACACTTGCGCGCAGCCGTCGCATCTTTGAGGCTCGACGGCTACGGTGATCGGTGCAACTACTTCGCAGCCCTCTGGGCTCATCACAGCTTGCTCAGATGGTGCGTGTCCAGCCTGCACCGTTGCTACGTCTTGCGCAATGCAAACGGAAGGAGATCCTTGCACCCGTCACGCTGCTTGTTGAGCCCCACGGAGCCAATCGCCTAAACTGGGGCTAGGGGCAAAGGGTTTCCGAAGAGGTCCGTGACTTGCAACATCGTACAATCCCATAACATCTTACAACTGCAGATGCCAAGGCCACCAGCCTTGACATCCCAGAAAGCTGTTTCGGCGATACTCGGGCTTCTCAGAGTTCTCCTCCTGGGCTGTTGGCCCAGAAACCCGAAGAACCCGAAACACCCGACAAACCCAAAAACCCGAACCACCCCGACAAGCTGCTGTTGTGGTTGTCGCGACTGCATGAGCAGCTTGGGTTGGGGGCTGTTGAGGGATTCGGGGTTAGGGTTGAATGAGTGGGTGTCGGTCCTTTTCAGTCTACTCAACGGTCCCTCCCACCTTCAATGCGGCTTGTTGCAAGGGTGATCACTCCAGCAAAGTGCTTAACACCGGACGGCTCGACCCAAGCCAGGTATGGAAGGGAAGGGCGTGCGACCCACAAGCTTTCGCGCCTGCCCTCCCCCCCAAGCCAGGAAGGTTTGGTTGGCATTGATCCCTTGGCAAAGCCGCACACTTCGCATGAGTAGACGCTCTTCCTTTTGCGGGCACCGGCGGTGGCGGTGGCGGTGTCTGATGGCTGATGGTCTTGGTGGAGCATTGTGTCGGTGGTGGAGGTAGTACGCGTGGTGGTGGCGGTGATGGTTGAAGTGCTGGTTGACGTGGCTGAGGTAATTGTGGGGAGGGTCGAAGCGGCAACTGAGGGTGCTAGCTCTTAATGTTTGGTTGTTAGTTGTTTTTCTTGTTTGATGTCGGTACCTTGTTTGTGTGATGCTTGTTGGTCGTGGCCGCGGTCATGCTAAGGTTGTTGTTGGTTTTCACCGGTAAGTTGAATGAAGTTGTTGTATCAGCTGTTCCACGGCCGCACCTTCGGCATGAAGCCATGTCTTGACGGGCACCACCAGAGGATTCAGTGTTCCATGGCAGATGCTGACTTCAGTAGATGCCTAGCTCACTCATGGCAACTGGCTATTCTCCCGGAGAATGGTAGGCTTGTCTCCATTTCCTGGACGTGCGTGCCAAGTCTCCTTCCTTTGGCGGCTCATCAGCTTCAGCGGGGATCGCACCGACCTTCCATGTCGCTGGAACGCTTGGCACTTCCCAAGCACAACTCTCATCAACCTTCTGTACGAGAACCGCTTAGTACCCTTCTAGACGCGAACCGGTTGGTTCTGAACGAGTTAACGAGGCTGAAGGCACGGCTCAAATGGACTGGCCCACTTTCCTTGGATGGTTTCGTTCGGCACCCCGGCCTCCCTTCAATCAGCCCCTGGCACTGGCTTTAATATCCGCCGAGGCCGGAGGCCTGAGGCGTTTCGATCCATCTAGGGAACCACTAAGAACCGTCCGTCAGCCCACACGGAGGCCGAGTTTTTTTTGGCCCGGAATGGGCACCCCCCCTCAGTCGACCTGTATCCAGCCGCGGCCGACGTGCCCGGACCAGGTTTAGGGGCGGATGCGAATCGCCGCCCCACCCCCCAAAAGCCCTCTAAGCCCTAAGCCCTAAGCCCTAGCCCCTAAGCCCTAGCCCCAAGCCCTTTGCCCTTTGCCCTAAGCCCTCAGCCCTAAGCCCTATAGCTGAGCCCTATAGCTACCCTAAGCCAAAGCCCTAAGCCCAAACCATCCCCATCCCCCACAACCCCCCCCCCAACCCCCACCTTCCCCCTCCCACCCCTGACACCGCGCGAAGCCAAATCTCGGAGCCCCTGCAAAGCTTTCAACTTTACACCTCAAACTGAACCGGCACATAGCCGGCAACCAACAAGCAACACAGCTGAAGCGACAGGCGCGGGGTTGGGCCCCCCCCCCCCGCCCCCCCTCCCCTTCCCCCCTCCCCCCCCCCCCCCCCAAAAAAAAAAAAAAAAAAAAAACACCCCACGCTTCCCCCCCTCACCCCCACTACTCCTTCCTGCCGCCTCGGTACCCTTACCGAGGCGGCCTCGCGTTAGCGATAAAATTAACGGGGTCGATAATCACACCAAGTTTCGAAAACATCTGCGAACTCAGGTTGTTGGGGTAACCCACTATTATCACAAGCTTTTTTCTCCGGATGTTTTTGTTTTTTTAGGGGTCTGTGTCTAGGGTTAAGGTTAAGGGCCTACGCCGTGAGGCTTGAGGCCTGAGGGCCTTGGGCTCAAGGAACTTCCATTTAAAGCCTTATTGAATTTCATTGCGAAACGAAGCCCCAAACCAATTTCGATCGCTGCCATAACTTGCCGGCGAGCATGTTTCGGACTTTGGCACAACAAACAAACCTACCGCAGAAGTGTGACCCGCAACCTTCCCAAACGCATCATCTGAGAGATCGTACAAACAAGTCGGAACAACGACTACGGGCTCCAGGTGTAGGGATGGCTTGCACTACAGAAACTAAGGGCCCCAGGCAGAGAATCATAACATACTGAGCTATCGTCCGCCCCACAAACATGACAGCTTGTGAACATGTTTTTGGGGTTTAGGGTTTAGGGTTTAGGGTTTAGGGTTTAGGGTTTAGGGTTTAGGGTTTAGGGTTGAGGGTCTAGGGTTTGTCTACCAATCAACATGGAGCCAGTCCATGAGATGGGAGCCCTGCCCTGAGATCCCGCAACCGCTGTCCCACAATGCAAACACGTTAAGAAGTCCAAACGATGAAGCCCACATCGCCACATGTCATATATCGGAACCCCCACGAGTTCAAAGCCCCCCCGCCTTCCTCAGTCGATCCATGAACTCCTTGTCCCCCACCTGCGATGACCTCAAGCAACGTCCACACTACTTACTACTTGGACACCTGACGGTCGGAGGCTGTCGGAACTCGGTCTTATCCATGCCGAGTCGCACGAAGCGCTGCACTCTGGGGTGCAGCTTATCCCAAACTCCTGCAGATGTCTCCACACTTAGAACTCTTGCATTCCGCCAGGAGCTCAGGCATTTGGTGCTTCGGAGGCTTTGGCTTGAAGCTTGGAGGCCCAAACCCAAACCCAGGGTCCGGGGATGTACAATAAGATGCGCCCAGAGAAGATCATGAGGAAGGTCCACCTCAAGCTTTTTGGCTTATTGCTTGTGCTTCAGGCTCGCATGCAGCTGGTCTGCTGCGGATACTTTTGCCATGTCTTGCCACTGCAGCATCACTCCAACATGGCCTTGTTTGGAATGCTGAGGTACAAAGTGTTTGTGGAGCCAAGGCACACCATCAAGGCCCCCAGAACACCGACCTCGATCTTGTACGTGGTGATCTGCAACAGGATGCAGACCGTGGACGGGACTGCCTGCATGTAGTCACCCCATTCAATGTCCTTCACGCCCTCGATCATGAAGACGCCCACCATAACCAATGCAGGTCCAGTGGAAAGGGTGGGGATAGACGAGAGCAAGGGCGTCAGGAAGATGCAAATGAAGTTGCAGAAGGCAATGGTAAGCGCAGTGAGGCCGGTGCGGCCACCCTCGTACACGCCGGCCATAGATTCGCCGTACGTAGTGACAGAGCTGGTGCCCAGGAAGCCACCCACAAAGGTTCCCACGGCATCTGCCATGAAGGCCGCAAAGCAGCCAGGAAAGGTCTCCGGCTTCGACGGGTCGACCAGCCCGCTGAGGTCTGCTGCTGCGTACAGGAAGCCCATGGTCCCGATGAAGTCGATGTAGAGGAGGGTGAGCAACCTGAGTGCCGGGGTCTGCAAGTTACAAGTACCGGGTGCCAGCTGCACAAGCCTGCTTGAACGTGTGCTGTGCCAAGCAACGGGTTCCAGAAGCCTGCCCAGTCGCCAAATCCGGACGTGTCCCACGCCAGAATTGTGCCGCCAGAGACGTCGCCGTTCACGCAATTGGTGCCGTTTGAGTCCTGAGCTTAGACAGCAAGCATGGCAAAGTCAATGGAGGCGGGTGCCTAAGAAGACATGAGCTCAAACGCCAACACCTTTGCAGTACATTTGCCGCCAAGTGCGGGCAAGAAGCGCAGCCGGCCCATCCAGCGAAAGGAGGCACCAAATCCCCCGCAAGGTCGATGAGCGGGATGGAGGCGATGGCAGTTGGGGCACTGAACGTCTTCCTTCAGCAGGGCCGCTCGTGTGAGAGCGTGTCAAAGTAAACTAGCAAGCTGGTGCCGTGCATTTGGTTCCGAATGCTCGCATGCCCGAACAATAAAAACGCTTGATTGCACATGTTCTCCAGCACACTGCCGATGTCGCTGCTGCCGTTGCGCTTGTTCCGCTCTCAAAATCTTAGAGGCAGTCTTTTAGCATGTTGCAGTTCAACTGAATGATCGCCCATATGATGATCCTCTTTCAGTTGTGTGCCTTCAAGCAGCGCCAGATGTTTGTGCATACGCGTGCGTGATGCCAACAGCTTGGCCAAAAGAACTGTATGCAGCTGCTTCTTGAAAAGCATGATCTCGACTATCTGTACACACAGCCAAGGGTCGGAATGCGACCAGCCCCGCCCAGGCAACCCTCTCCAAATCCATCGACCAGCAGGCTTTCGGTGGCGCGGTCCTGGTAGGACATGCCAGTCCTGGCAAAGGCTGTTATGGCACCAAAGCCTCTAGCCTCTAGAGGCTGAGCAAGACATGCACTCAAGTGCACAAGCTTGGAGTGTGAGCAAACTATAAGATTTCATGAGATTGCTAAACCCCTTGGGAGGTCCAGCAACCCGTCTCCACGAGCACGGCCCCGAAGCACATTGGGTCGAAGCCGCCCAGCATGTGCATGCATGAGTCTTGGCAGCCACCCTTGAAGGTAGAGTCGCGGCCTTCTGCAATGCCCTGCCAGTAGAGGCTGCCGCTGTGGGTCTGGCTAGTGCCGCCGTTCGTGATGGTAAAGACCCCGCCGGTGTGGGACACAGAGGCAGTGGACTCAAAGGTGTAAGTGCGGACATTATCCGTCACCGTCAACTTCCCTGCTCCGGGCACAGTGAAGGGGTTGTCGCACGTAGGTTTTGGGTAGTAGCCGCCTCCGGGCTTGGGATACCACTCCACGCCTCCTGCAGCCGGCTCCGGATAGGAAACGCTGCCAAGGCAGCACATGGGCTTGTACGAGAACTGCTCCACCGCTGCTGCATCCAAGATCCAGCAGAGGACTGCGCTGAGGATGATGGCAATCATCACGGCACCCTTCACGCGCAGAAGAATCAACAGGGCCATGACGCAGAAGAACGCGATTCCAATCCAGGTGCGCGCGAAGTGCTCGCCAGTCAGGGTCACAAGGTCCACAAGCACTGCAGGGTGGTCCCTGACGATGTCGATGCCGTTGCCCGCTTGCAGTCCGATGTGGGCCAAGAACAAGCCGATGCCCGCCATGGTGGCCTTCATCATCCATGTGGGGAAGACCTTGAAGACGTAGCGCCTGAGGTCAAGGGCAGACATGATGATGAAGATCACGCCCTCAATCGTTACAGCCATCATCACTTTTTTCACGGCAGTCTGCGTTCCCTTGAAGCCCACGATGGTGTAGGCGAAGTAGGCGTTCATGCCCATGCCGGGCCACAGACCGAAGGGCAAGTTCCTGAGACAGCTCTCAAAGGCTGTGTGCTTCCTGAACCTCAATGGAAGCCTAGGGTTTAAGATCTCGGGCTCCGAATGAGTACTCACTAAGCTGCGTGATATCGCCTGAACAGTGATGAACCAACCCGCGCCTGTCTGAGAGAGGGTGTCAGACTGGCTTAGAAGGCGTGCGAACTTCAAACCAGGGTGGAAGTGCATCTCGCATCGCCTGAACCGTCTGTAGTCCTGAACTGTCATCGCAAACCTCCTTTCTCTCTCCAAAGCTCGCCCAAAGCGCCATGATCAGCGTGGCAATGCAGCTCGACCCCGCCGTCGCGAACACGAGGCCCTCGAAATTCCTTTGGCGAAACTCGGGGCAACTGGGATTTAAGACGATCTAGGACTTCAGGCGAGGATCTGGACCCGAGCCCCACGTTCCTGGAAAAGGTCTGAAAATGCTCTGTCTTCTCGTTCCCAGGTTTTGACCACAAAAGACCATAACACCTCCGTAGCCACACCGCATGTCTTGTCGGGATGTCCCCAGTCAGAACTTCAGAGCCCACTCCACGCGACAGAACACATGCAGATCTTTGGACGTACAACCCTGTCATTCCCTGAAGCCCTAGTCAAGCCGCTGGAGGTCCGTTCACATGGCATCGTTGGTCTTCAAAGGTTATCAAGCCTCCAACCCTTTTATCCATTGCAAACACAGCTGAACTCTACTGGCACCCATCCAAAGCCGATGCCCACGCTTGAGAAAGATGGACAGCGGCACCAACCGAACCGCCAAGGATACCGCTAACCAAAGAAAATCAAGACGATGCCACACGACCCGCCACTGCAGTGAAACTCATGGTTGCAATTCTCTTTTAAAGAACCAGGCTCACAACTTCTGGGCCCAGGCTTCTATTCTTGTAAATTTCCAAGCCGGCCACGGACGTGGACATACCCACACGCCCCAAAACAGCGCTTGTTTAGGGTTTAGGGTTTAGGGTTTAGGGTTTAGGGTTTAGGGTTTAGGGTTTAGGGTTTAGGGTTTGGGGTTTGGGGTTTGGGGTTTGGGGTTTAGGGTTTGGGGATTGTGCCAGCCAAGTGGCAGGCCCGTGGTGCTGATGATATTCGGGTTGACCTGACGGATGCAAGGATTGG